AACAGTAGTGTGCTTTCTGTAAATGCCAATTGTCTGCTCCCAGGTACACCGCATCAGCGGGTTCCCCCACTTTCCACCCTTACATCAACACTTTCTCTGGGAGGAACACTCTAAAATTGGCAATCAATGCCCCTAAAGTGCCCCTGCAGAGACTCTATTTTAAGTAAACTGACCCCCCGCCCCCAATGCCTCCTAATATTATTTCTCTCTCCTACAGCTGGCTTGTTACCCAGTGTTGTTCTCTTAATTAGGTCTTACCACCTGGCTCAGCCTAAAGGAACCCTCTCTGCCATCCGACAAGCCTTAGCTCAAATCTCAACTTAGTGAAATATCACTCAATTGCCACAGGAATAACAAAAACTAAAGACAAAAACAAACAGACAAAAAGAAAGAAAGAGAAAGAAAAGAAAAGAAAAAAGAAAAGAAGAGAGAAGAAAAGAAAAGAAAGAAAGAGAAAGAAAAGAAAGAGAAAGAAAAGGAAGGAAGGAAGGAAGGGTAGAGAAAACCACTTCACCTTTCTTTGTCTTCCTTCACAGTGTGGTTATAATGTGTATCTGATTTGGTGGGTGGGGCGGGGAAGAACTTGTAAAAAGCAGATTCCTGAAGACCTGCCTTGAGGTTCTGATTCAGAGGTCTTGGGCGAAGGCCGGAACTCATCTGTTGGGTTTAAATGATTACCCAGGTGACTTGCATCAGCTGGTAAGTTAAATTCTCTGTGATATTCATTGAAAAACGCTATCCCCTGAAATGTCCTATTTTGTGCTCTCTATATTCCGTTGTTATTTCCTGATCTGTAAAATGTGAATAGAATTCCAGCCTGAACGTTCCCAAGCTCTGTTTTGTTTGTTAGGCAATATCCCTAAGCTCCGTTAAAAGCGTTAGAATAGAGGGCCCGGTCATGTTTACTTTTTCTTCTCCTGCAGCCTTGTCCCTGAAAAAGCCTTCCGCCTTACACAGAACTACTTCATTCTTCGCTTCAGGAAGTGATGCGGCAGTGTCAGTAGTTCCATTTAAGCAGGAGAATGAAAGGAAAGAAGATATTCGAGAGATTTCTTCCGTGGAAGGCATCAAGAACATGTAATCGGCAGTTCAACAGCAATGGGGACCAATCCTGCCCCACCTAACCCAGCCCCTGTCCTCTGTGACACCTTGGGCTAGTTACCTATCCTGTGTCTGAGTTCTCTTGTCTGAAAAATGCATATGATAATAGTACCTACTTTCACAGAGTGGTGTGAGAATTAAATGCATTGTAAGGCTGACGTAACACTTTTTCAGTGTTCAATTCGTTAGCTCAATTTACCTTAAAGCTTTAGCACTGTGGTAAATAGCAGTCACTCACTATAGTTGCAGGGGATGGTATTGGTACTGGCAGAGATACTCAACAGAGATGCGCTACCTAAGCGCAATTTCTTATTAGCACATGGACATCTAACCCCTGGGTCCTGTAATGAGATGTGCCAGTTGATTTCAATGGCAAGCTAGATCTATTACCACGGAAGTACTTGGGTAATATACACAGTGAAGCATCTCAGGCTTGGTTAAGTGAAGCTGCCATAAGAGGATAAAAGACAACATCTTCATTCTCATTAAGAGATAACAGATGGACTTTCCTAAAATCCGTTTTTTAGCTTAATTTCATTTGTTTAAATCTTCGATAGGATGGCATTCTGAGAGTAGTTTTAAATTGTTCTGCTTGGAATAAATATTTCTTTAACTTTATTAGAATCTGTCCCTAAGGGGTTCTGTTGTCCTGGGAGATTTTGAATATTCATCTCATCCAAATACAATAACTCTCCCTTTAATATTTTTTTTCCCCAAGACCCAGTCTGTGGCTTTGCAAGGTAAACATTATGTGATGAGCTAAATAATAAAACTAAGTCGAAACAAGTTACTAAGCCATTTTCATAGTAATTACAATTTTTCTTAAGTTATCTGCAATTTTTAATTAAGTTTATTGTGGTGACATTGGTTAATAAAATTATATAGATTTCAAGTGTACAATTCAATAATACATCATCTGTATATTGCATTGTGCATTCACCACCCAAAGTCAATCTTATTATTGCTACTTTCTCACATGACTTAGTAAAAGATGGATTAAAAAAAAAAGGACATCAAAAGTTCCTAAATTTATGCCCACCTCAGCTTATATTTTACAGCTAAAAATTAAAGTTCTCTTTGTACGCTTATTCTTTTTGATGCTGTTACATGCAAAAACTAAAAAAATAAAAGCAGATATCTAAGTTTATAGTTCTACATTTCTTGAGATGTTTAACCTTCTGAATTAAGCTTGCTTCTGGGTCAAAATATTTCTATGTAGTATGTTTAGTTTTCTGAGTAAAAACAAATTAATTAATTAATTAATTAAAAAGGTGAGATAACCAATATTATTTGAACAGAGTAACGTAAATATATTTTAAATTCTATAGGGTTCACGGAAAAGTTGATGGCATTCATCTGGGCAGAGCCATTCTGTATATGTTCTCTGTATGGAGCCAACTGTAAATCTGAATCTGGGATAGAATTGAATGATTTCTTTCAGTCCATGAAGTACGTTTTCTCTGGTCTATATTTTGATATTTTTTTTGTAATTTGATTATAATGTATTAATAATAATAGTAACTCTACCACTTAAGATAATCTTAATAGTTATTTTACTGAGACCCATAAAGGCTTGATTTTTTCATATTTATTATGCTACAATTTTTAAATATAATCATATGTTCATCAAATGAAGTGTGTCACTGCGTTTTTTTCATACCCTCAACTGCTTGTAATTCCCAACATCATCATCTTTTTCCTTACCTCTCTGTCTTTCTTTATGGATCTCTCAGCAGATTCCAACTCACCTTTTCATATACAGGTGTTTGCAGGTGCCACTAGAAAGAAAATTCCAAGAGCACCAGGGGTTTTGCCTGCTTAACTCACTGCTATATCTACAGTCATTATAAGAGTTCTCAGCAAGTAGTAAAGGCTCAATTAATAATTATTGAGTGAATGACCAAATGAATGTCTTCTCTGACTGGGGTTAGTACCCATGTCAGCCTGGAATTCACAGCTCATTACCTGGAGCATCTGCTTTTGTGTCTGTCTTCTTACTTGTCTGTGATTTCTTGCAAATGATTCTTTTGTTTTTGGATTGCCCCTGAAATGTATATATTCATTTCTTTTAACTCTTTAAAAGTGGAGTACATGGACACTTAAAATTAGGGCTTCTTCAATAAATAAGTGAAGGCACCTCATAAAAAAGTGTCATGGATTAAGGCTAACTCAACTAGGTTGTATTCAATATATGAGACAGATATTTCAAAGTAATTATTACCTACATACTTTAAAGAAAACTGATCCTTTTGAGTGTTTTTATAAAGCTTTATATCAACTTATATAGATACAGTTTTTCTCAGAGACTTAAGGTGATAATGTGGTGTCAATACTGTAAAGTATAAAAAATCAATGCCTGTACCTCTCTAGATGGGATTAACCCTTCTAATAAGCCAAAGCCACCAAGGGGTATGCTTTGTTCACTTTATCTTTTAGCGTTACAAGAGGAAACTACTGCCAGAGTAACACATGAGGGAAGACAATAGCACTCGTAAGCCAGGGAAAACACCGAAGAGTCCACGCTCATGCTTTCTCCAGAATCTTCCATTTGGTTGGGTCAAAACCACATAGCAACTTAATCGCATGTTCATTCTCTGCACTTGAGGTTGCTATAAGAAACAGACATTCTTTACTCTTGAATCTCCACTTTTTCACACTATTGTTTTGTTTTGGTTTGGATCCATGAAGGACATTTTCCCCACACCTCAGAACAAGATAAAAAACATGCCTTTCCTGAAGATCTGGATGAATTTTATTTACACAAACAAATGAATCACGTATCTCAGAAATGTTTCTCCTGTTTTCACATTAGTTTGTGAAAACAAAGAGATTTTAGAGAGCACGTGGAGCAGATTTAGGTCCTACACCTTAGAATTATCTTCCACACATTTTATATTGTATGTATGCCCATGAATTTTTCTTAATGTTGGTTTCTATTTCTTTTTTCAGACTCCCAACTCCCTCAAGAATTTATTGTTTCCCTTGCCATCTGTGTAAACTGCAAAGGCCTCATCAGGTCCTTTGTGGGAAAAAGAGATTCTGGTAATATTCACGAAGCATTTCATTTGAAAATAAAATGAACATCATATCCTTTCTGCATGTTTTTGTATACAAAAAATTGGTGAGTCAGAAAAACGCAGGTTCTCAAAGACACCGTCGCACTAATTTTCACCATATATCTACTGTTGAGACACTCAATAATAGTATAATTAAGGGCAATCAAAGAAGCTACGGTCATTAAAAATGGACAGAAAGACTAACGTATGTTATTTTAACCTTAGAATCTCCTCTGGAAAAAAGTCCACATTTCGCATCTAATTTATGAAAAAATAGTTTTAAATAGTCTATAATGTGTAAAATAAAGTAAACCCTAAAAAAAATAAAAAAATAAAAAACATCTATAATTTCATTTTCCCAAATAATATGTATTGATAATTTGAAATTTCCTCCTATATTTTTTGCCTGTATATGTGTATATGTATGTGCGACATTCAAATATGTGAGCGATAGCTTCTATATTGTATATAATATACATGTTAGTGTCTGCTTAAATTATAGTGTACAGTTCTTGAGTTCTATTTTTAACCTACCCTTTAATACTAAATCTTTTCTCATGTTTTAATTTACAAAACATTGTTTTTAATGGTTGAGTAATAGATGTAAGATATAAAAATATTTGGATAGAAGACTGCTTCCTTCTTACATACACTGTGACCTTTGGCAATTTATCAGTGTACATTATTTCTTGTTGAGATGATTCACTGGAAGGCTCCTTGGGAATAATAAAATAAGTTCCAATGCCAAAATATTTAATGCAAACAGGGACCACTTATCATGCGATCACTAAGCATAAAGTGAACCCAGTCACACAAGGAAAAAATTAAACCCCATGCACTTACTAATTTCAGTAGCAATGATTGTTATGTTGTGCCACACACTTAATTCTCTGTCGAGTGGTGTTGCCAGTGTTATCTTCCCATCATCTGCGTTAATGTTGAATTGTCTCTCCAGGTCAGTGTGCCGGTCGATGGAAAACCTACAAAACAGATAGATTTGTAATCTACTTCAAGGTTGCTATGATCCATACATTCCACAGCAGACCTTTAGTAATCCTTGGAGAGCCATCATTGTGAAGTCAAATGAATTGGGAAACTCAGTGGCATCATAATTTGTAAAACAAAATGACTGAATGAAGCACAAGAAACTTAATAATTACTATCCAAGGAATAATTAGCTACATATGCAACATGGAGGTCATAAACTGCCATCAGTTTCAATAGGTAACATCTTCAAAAATGGATGCTGATGAAGAGTTAATTAGACAATCCATCACATTTATTGGACAGCTTATGATCATTAGCAGTTGCCACAAAATATCATATAAAACAATGAACTCAAGCCCAAAGCAGAATGGTGCTAGGTAGCAGGTTATTTATAGCAGTTCATAGGAAATATATGTTCGTGTTAAAATTATATTTGACTAGATAACATGTATGTGGTTTTTTTTTTTTTTTGCTGCTGCTGCTGCTGCTGTTTTTTTTTTTTGTCTCTGTCCATAGAAATCAGATAGTTGTTGACTCTCTAGTAAAAATTTTTAAAAGTTAGAGTACATATTTAAACATACTTACAGTACTAGATTCTATGAAATTAAAATTTTTAAATGGACTTATTAGTAGTTCTCATATTGAGAAAACTCTCAGATAAGACAACGTTATGATGTTTTATGTCTAGAGCCAACTGCTAAGTATCAAAATTGTATAAGAATTATTTTTCAACAGCATCTGTCAATATCCTTTTTATACAACAAGATCTGTGCTTTGGCTATGAAATGCCAAATAAGGTATATGTCTTAAGAAACACAAGGCATAACTAGAAAAATTGGCCCATAAATAAGCAATGAAATGAACTAAAACAGGATACAGTGGATGCTCAAAGAAGGGTGCTGTGGGCTGACTATTTGTGCCTTCCTGAAATTTGTATGTTAAAATCCTAACTCTCAACATGACAGTATCTGTAAATGAGGCCTTTGGGAGATAACTGGGACTAGATTAGGTTGTGCGTGTGGGGCCCTCATGATGGGATTAATTGCCTTATTAAAAAAAAGAAGAGACAGAAGATCCCCGTCTTCTCTCTGCCAGTGAGATTACAGCAAGAAGACAGCCATCTGCAAAGCAGGAAGTGAGCTCTCACCAGACACTGAAACTGCTGATGCCTTTGTCTTGGACTTCTAGCCTCCAGAACTGTGAGAAATAAATTTCTGTTGTTTAAGCCACCCCGTCTGTGGTATTCCATATCCTTAGCAGCCCAAACTAAGACAAAGCTCGTATATTTTCCCATTCTCGTAAGGAGGACTAAAGAAAGCCTTTATGGTTGAAGTGGCCTCCTAGAAAGTACACATAAAATCTCTTTCTTCCTTGACACCCATTGAGTCTAAATATGAAATCTGGTTCATGGCTATTGGTGCTGAGCATATTTTCTTTTGCATAAATTTTTAAAATGAACATCTATTATATAATCAAGTTTAGACTATATTATTATAAGAAAATGAGGAAAAAATTAATTTCCCATAATTTTCTGCCTATAGATTTGCATTAATATTTTTTTGGATTTCACTGTAAACAGTATATATTTGTGTATATTATGCATTTCCATTTATGTGCATCTACTTATTTGTATCTGTATCTGCTTGTAAAGATAGATGGATTATTGGATAGACAGAGTTAGATAAATGAAGGTTGGATAGACAGAGATAAATTATAGATAGAGAGACAGACAGACAGAAAGACAGATGGGTATGTAAACAGAAATAATAGGAATAATTCCTTCTTCCATTTAGTTATTTCTTTTTTGTTAGACATAGTATTCATATCTTTTATTCCGTATGCACATACCATCAAAATAAAAAGCATCCTTGTTAAATCTTCCCACCAAAGACAAGCATAATTAAATAATTGGGAATAATATTAAAAAGTATTAAATTTTATTGATGATAGTTTATTGCTAAATTCCCTGAAAAAAAAATCTTGTGTTATGAAATTATAACTCCTGATTAAGTAAAGACTTAGCCACCACAAAAACTAAGCAGCTGCCTTGCATCTACACAGCAGGCATTTACACATTGACCCCACTCCTGCCCCTGTGGTGATTAGAGAAATTCAGAAAGGATTTAAGAACCCAGAGGCATATATGGATTAACAGTGCTCTCAACAGAATCCTAAGCACAAGAAAGTGTTCGCTGCAAAGCATTCAAATCTGTTCTATTATGGAAAGAAGACCAAAGGTCATTTTTCTGGGGAACAATGATTGTTGATGAGACCAATGAGATTGCAAGTTTAACTGCAAAATAATTAAATAGACATGTGTTTTGTTCCAGGTAGCCTGTACCCTTTCTTAAAAGAGCTAAGAAATGTCTAGAGGATTAATTTTCAGTTTCTGCATCATATTCATAAATAAACTTTGTAGGAATTGGTGGGTTATAGTGATTTTATTATCTCACTGCTGATATTTCACACATTCATGCATCAACCAGTTTCCCACAGGCCACAGTAAATGAGAATCAGTCTAATCACTGATACTCATGGATCCCAAATCCAAAACATGCTCCTCTGCTATCTGATTGCTGTCCGGTAATTGCCTGGAACTTCTGGCCTAGAGGAACACTGGGAATAACAAGGACAGAATTTTGAAAATTGGTATTAAAATTTTTTAAAAAGTTGTTTAATTCCTTATTTAAATCTGTATCATGCAGACTTCCAATTTGGAATACATTTATCTCCATTATTTATATATTGCTCTTTCTGTGATAATTAATAAATCTACTGAGCCTCAATGTCTTCACTGGTCATATATGAAGTACTCATATCCCAGAGGTTGTTGTAAAGACTTTAAAAAAAAAAAGCATAAATCAGTTTCTGGTACTTAGTAGGTGTTAAAGATATGTTAATCATCATCATCACCATAATTATTATGTCTCATTAAATGAAATTTTAATAAATTTCCCTACTTGGAAGGTGGTGGAGAAGGCCCCCTTTTTAACAGTTTATAAATAGCACAAAACTGGAAAAACATTTGAGTGTTAACTCCCATGACTCTAACAGAAGCAAAGATATTTTTCTTGTTTTTAAAAGTTCCAGTTCATGGCAGACTTATGGAGTGAGTCATAAGAATTTATAAAATTGGCTATAAATATAGGCCTTTAGTAAGATCAGAGGTAAGAATGTCATAATATTACAAGATTACACAATGGAAGGAACTTGATGGGAACTTGACTTAGTTTAAAATTCAGCTTAAAATCTACCTCAACTATTTCAAGAAGCCCCTGGCTGCTGCCTATGTAGACATTTCACACATTTTAATGCCGAGTAGACTTTAGGATCAAGCCTTCCAAGAACTGATAAATAGCACCCAAATCCTGACTCAACATAGTCAACAAGCATATATTAAACACCACATTTATACCAAGCACAGTGCTAGATGCTTTTTCCTTCTTCCATCCTTCTTTCCTTCATTTCTTATAGAATGAACAAAAGAAAAGTCACTTGATTAGGTGTGATTTAATCGTGTTATTAGTTTCTCTGTGCCTTTGTTACCTAGTCTGTAAAATGGGAATTATAACAGGCTTTGTGAAGTTTAAATGAGGTATTACATATAAAGCACTATTACAGTGGCTGGCACGGAATAAGTGCTCAATAAATATGTGTTTAAAATAGTTCATGTTATTATTACTTGTTTGGGAACAATAGTTTTCTACTAAGGATTCCCAGCCCTCTTCTCAGGTGTGAGCTATCATTTCTTTCTCTCCTTGCTTCTCTGTCCTTGAACAAGTTCATCCGGGTTCTCATATTGGTGGAAGCAAACACTTAGAAGATGCCAGTTTAAGTGACAAAATAAAGCTGAGGAGAGGGAGCAGGTGGAGAGGCTGATACCTGCATCTCTGGCAGGTATTAAAACCTTTAGGTGTTTATTTTTCCACCAACTTTTATGACCAAAATCTCTGTCTCGTGAACTGACCATTGTGGGTTCAAAGCTTTATTGAACATATTTAATTTGTATTCACAGTGAATACTGTATGAGCTTTTTAAAAATCAGTTAAAATTAATGATGTTTTTACATAACTTTAAAATTAATCACTCAGTTAAAAAGTATTCACATTAAAAAAACTGAAAGCACGTCATTTTAGGAATGTTCTCAGAAGATACTTGCTCCATCACCTCCCACCCCCACCCCAACACACGCACACACACCATAACTATGCCACTCCATTTTTAATTGCAAAGATTCTGCTTGCTTTTCTCTGGTCATCTAAACTGCCACCATCCACTCTGTTATCTCAGTTTCTCCCCACTCCTACTAACTCCACTTTCAAAATATCTACTATTATGGATACCTCCACCATAGAGCATAGACTCTGAGCTGAAGAAATGAGAGGCTACGCTGGGGTTCCTAGCTTACCGCTCACCCACAAGGAGCCTTCTGCACCTGGCCCAAGTCTTTGCTCATCTTCCCTTCCGTAAGGATGTCCTTTCTGTCATCCTAGTGTTAAACATTTGCCAGACTTTTGCACTTGTAGGACAAGGAGAGAATACATACTTCATATTGCATTGGTTGGAACTTTGCCCTGCAGTTACTCGATAACTGATTATTGGAAAGATGTACAAACATTTTTTGAGCCTGGATTGTTATTATGTGTGAAACACAGTGCTAAAGAAATATCAGAAATGGGAATACATGGGATAGAAAAGGAGTAAAAAAAGAATAAAATAATTATTTTGATTCCTACTATATCTCCTGAAAAGCTCAATGCCTTCTAATTTATATCTTACAAGTCGTAGGATTTGTGTCTCCAGTATTGAACTTTCCATCCTAATTTTTAAAAAATATGCATGTAGTGGATTTGCTATTCCTTTGCAGAATTACTTGAGATGCATTAGAGGAAAGATTTCGTTTTGAGGAGAGTAGAATATACTTTGGAGAGTCATATTCCTGCCACAGTAAGAAGAAACTTCTTATTAACACAGTGGGAAGTGGTGTGTGAAA